CTACAAAATAATTTGCAAATATTCATGGTTTTGACGAATTTTTGTCAATATTTGAACTTTAAAAGCTAATAAAAAAAAATTGTATCCATGTATTCTTATAATTTTTTTATAGTTATAAGAATAACTTATGAGGAACTTTKTATTAAATTTTCAAGTATTTTGATAGGGACAAAACAAAATTTTATAGACACTTCAAAAAAATTGAAAATTTCAATAAATAAATAAAAAATAAAAACACACATCATTGTAAAATCAATACATTCATCACTTCGYTCAGAATCTAAAAAAAAATAATGTATTTACTATTTAGCTAATTTTGATATAAATATTTCTATTCAGACTATAAAAGTTAGAAAAACATGTTAGAATTATAAATAGTAGTACACGTCTACATTGCGTTTTTGTGCATTTTATTATTTTCTGTTCGAATTTTTGTTCCCCGAGTACTTATAGCTCTCTATAATTTGCCTATTGTACTGATATTACATTATTATTGTAGTATATTGCCTGGTTAACCGATGTTCTCACAAATGGTCAACTATTGTTGACTATTCTATGACTCCCTCGACTCTCGATTCCCTCGATTTCATTTACCACCCACTTACGTCTTCCGGCCATTTACTACAATATGACCAAATTACTTAAATTTTTTTCTTTAGAAGTATATGTGCTTATGAGAATAACTTAGATGACAAATGGCTTTTATAATTTGATATCAAACTTAGATATCTACCATGATATTATGATTAGTAGTAGATATTATCTATTCGTTTTTATCCATTAAATAACTTTAATATATATCTCATGTCCATATACATATAATTTCTGTAAAATACAAGTAATTCAATCATATTATAATGTACCTATAGTTTAAAAAAAATTAAATTGCATCAAACAATGAAATTTTTCTCATTATTTTTTTTTWAAATATTAAGTACCTACTGAATTTCCCACATTGGTAACGACAAATAATAAAAAAGAATTTTAGAAATGTTGTCATGAAATTAAAAGCAATTCGTTCTTTAGGAAAAAAATACATTTTAATAATGAAGATTGTTGTTAGCTGCTTATTTGAGTTTATGAAAACCAAACATATGTACAAATTAATGATTTGGCCACTAACTTTGGTATAAATATAATATAATATATGTGTAAATCATGATCGTATTYTCATAAAATCTATACTTGAGTAAACTGATATAAAATATACGATTTCGGAGGTCATATTAATTTTTAAAATGTCATTATGCTTATAAATAAAACGACCTAAATGATTGTACTTTAAAATTGGCCAACATTTAATTTAATTCAAACTAAAATATAAAACCAATATCTTATTAAAAACATGCCTCAAGTAAAATTTTATATTCCAATAATCTGCAGAGTATTATACCAATCCAAATTCCAATCAATGTCTATACTCATCATACTAATTTATATAAAACTTTTTATTTCCATCCAATAATRGAATGACCACAAAAGAATTAAGAATCATAAAAAACATAACGTTAAAATCAATGTGAAAAATTTCAATAAAATTAAGTGCAAAAAAGTTTGCATTTCAGTTGAACATTATCCAATAAAACAATTAATAAGTTATTTAATTTAACGAAATTAGTTATGTCTTGTAATTTAATAATATAGCGATGTCATAATAAGCAATGCGAGAGCCGATAGTTAAACGATTCAATCATCCAAGTTGCTTATTTAACAATTATATGTTAGCGTAATGCACCGGATCCTTAATTTTATTATTGATTTAAGATTTATTTTATTCGCAACATAAAATTGTGTTAATATGTTTTGAAAATTAGGTGGATTAGATAATTAATTTTAAATATTTAGATTTTTTATAGGCTGCACTCTCGCTTTCCAATTACCACCTATATGTTTCCTACACTATCACACATTGAAATATACATATTATTGAACAACAATCATGCAGTTTCAATAAATCTATTTTTATATAATTATTAATATTATATTATAATATATTATGATATTATTTATATCAGATCGATCTTTAGGAAAATGCCTAAATGACGTAGGCATTCTACAAACAAGACAAAATACAACTGTGCAATCTTCAAATGAAAACAAATCTCGTCGAAGAAGAACAGCTTTCACGAGTGGTCAGCTTTTAGAATTAGAGCGGGAATTCCAGGCCAAAAAATACCTAAGCTTAACTGAAAGATCTGAAATAGCAAATTCATTGAAACTTAGCGAAGTTCAGGTAATAAGATTTATGTAACATTGATACAACGATCATATATATTATTCTACGTATATTTATTATATGCATGTGTAAATATTAGGTACCAACTCATATTCTAGGTGACATCAAATAATTAATAATTAATAAATAAACAATACATATATACCATAAGAATTATGGTAAGTTCTATCATAGCCCCACGCCCCCGCGTGCAAATAATTAGGTACTTCAATATAATATATTAGAAAAATGTTCGGTGCCCGGATTTAGTCTGTACCAAGGCTAAAAATATGATGTGAGGGAGGGGCCTAGATACTATATGCATACTACTATAGACATTAGGCATTACAGAGTATAGGTACCTACAATAAATTGTGTATTTGTGTCTAAAATTTTAAAAACAACTTATAGACTCTTATGAAATATGACTTATGACTTATGAGTTTATCAATTTTATCATTGTCACGTAAACTATTAGACATTAGTTACTTAACTTGTATACTTCTTTTTAAGTAATAGGTATATAATATAAATTTATTATAAAAATATAATCAATATTTAATCAAAATATAAGTATATATATAGTTTTAAATATTAAACACTTGGGTCATAATCATAACTTATAAATAATCATCGTTAAAATAAGTGTACTTATATGTAATTTTAAAAATAATTTAAATATAGTCATTCTAGAAACAAATAGGTATAGGTAGGTACCTATAATTAAAGTCATAATATTGACTTAAATCTCTAACCAATGCAAAAGGTGCGTGAAAAAATATCAAGTTCCTACCTACAGACAAAAAATACGATATAATTGTTCAAAAATAAATCAGCCTAATACCATAAAATGAAAAAAGCCCAAGCGATTAATTGTCCTATTAAAGCCCCTTAATCCGACTCTAATCAACCAACTAAAACGCCTCTTTTATATATTTCTTGTCGTTAATCTTATGGCTGTTCCTAATTTTGTTTCTTAGAAAGTACGTATTTCCACTTTACTGTCTTGAAATGTCTAACCGTTAGTTATTGGGTAATAAAAAATAAATCAACTATGTTGTCATAGGTGTTAGAGATATAATTTAGATATTATATACATACTCACTATCCAGCATACTGAATAGATGTTGTAACTATTGTAAATTTTGAAGTATAATATAATTTAATAATTAATAGTTACACAATATATAAGACATAGCCACGTAGATACTATTATAATATATAATATATTATTTTATTATTTTATATCATATTATATTTTACTATTTAGATTTTATTGGTATGATATATTCTAGATCGATTGCTGATTAGGTTCTTATATCTTTGCATAAATATTTTGTTTAAATTAAATTGATAAATATATTTCTAAAAGTTTATTTATTTAATATGATAAATTATAATTATAGCCATGAATCATAAACCATAATAATATCAAGAGTAAAACAAAGCACTGGTTCAATTTTTAAGCGTGAAACTTTTAAACAGTAAAAACATTTAAACATCTATGTAACAAACCTAAATAATAATTCATTTTTTTAAACATTATTAAAAATGCGTGTGACAAAATGAAATTTCCATCCATTAAATATTTGATATCCGAGCAAGGTATACTTATGAGTTATGAATTTTGAAAATAATTTACTAAATTTGTCCATAAACATATTTCTGAAAAAACATCAGTATTTATTAATACCTAATAATATGTAATGGGATATGTTTTTCAATATTGTTAACATTTTAGTTTCAAATACGACATGTTGATATACCTGAATTTTTTAAAGTTTATGCATATTTAATAATTTCTCATAGAAGCACATGGAATTTAAGTTTGAAAAAAGCAACACTTTTATATTTGCTTAATGATATATGGCACATATTATACATAATACCAATATTTTTCATATCATCGTTGACTGATTGCAAACAATATAAAATATTCAAAAAAAGTGAGAGCAAAATACTAAATTCTGTTCACATATTATAAGATGCATAATTTTATGGGRAAATAAATTCGAGGTTTCGTTTTCTCTAGACTCTAGTTAATGATCTTTCTGAAAATGCCAAAATGGTCATTCGAAAAAATGTTCGAGTACTATATTCGCATATTATACCAATTACATCTTACATTTTCCTATAGAATGTAGAGGACCACGAGTTATAAAAAAATTTACACTTTTTCGAGTTTAATAGATTCAATTTTAATGGTCACGAATCATGAGTGTTATAGTTATTCAGTTATAATTCTTAAAAAATTTTAATTAAAAATACATAAAAATACGTATGTAAATATATACCTACTTTAAAAATTTAGGGAGGGTTGGAACCCTAGATAACCCTTCCCCCCTGTAATGGGCTTGGAAGGGGGGTATTGAAAAGTATCGAAAAGTGTGCTATTCACTGATTGTATTATACATTTCTACTATTTTAGATTGTTAAATCGTCTAAATGGTTTTATCCCACCTACGGGGAATATATTWTAGTACTTTCAAAGTTAGATTTTTTTTTTTTAGTTCAATTTAAGATTTTTTAAAAATGCGTAAATATTATCGAAGATGACAATATTTGTAATTACACAATTAAATTTCAAATTCTTAAAATATTGCAAGTTCTACAATAATTAGAAGTTAATAGTACCTACGGTGCTGCCCCGCTCTCCATTATATACCTACCTAATACGTGTTTCAAACCAACGTTCCCCCTAGAAATAGCTATAATAGCCATAGTTGCTGGACTTAGTGCTTAGACTAAATAAATAAAAAGTTATATTTTTTTTTCTTCTCATTGTTCTTTTTTTTGTTATTATTATATTCTAAGTTAAGTTATTTGTAAGCTGTATAGGTACCTATTACTAAATACTAATACAGTAATAAGTAATTTGATGTATATATATAATATAAGTAAGTAAAATAAATGTAATAAAAACGCATCTCATGTTTCTTTATTATGTTTTATTTTATTATAAATCACATAAATGTATACAACTGAAATTGTATTCACTAAAATATCCATTACGATATATTATGACGTGAAATACGTAATATTATCCCTAGGAGTACATTATATAGGAAATCACGCCTTCTAATAAATTTGCTTTTTTACTTTCAAAATATTGACTATTTTTCTTTCAAAAATCCATATTGGTGTATAATAAAATGTATAGGATGGTTAAAATTTTCATAACACCAGAATTTATGGAAATTGAATAACATTATATCGTCTATATAACTGCTATTAGAATCGTATAAATAAAATCCTTGTTGAACACCCGGTATTAAAACGAATAAAAGCTTACCCTTCAGACAACTATTAAACATACAATCTGCGCCCTCTTTTGAGTGGATATGTATGTCGTGTGGCAAGATTAACATAATTATAGGATATCCGATTTTTAATATTATGATTGTCAGGAACAACACAAACGTTTTATGAATTCAATATCTCAAGTAGAGGCCTCCTAGTTTTTAGGGACAAATGTTTTATCAATAGAAATTGCATATACTGCACTTAAATTATATTATACTAAACTGCGTTTTTTTAGTACATTTTAATATATCTTGATAATCTTTATCACAAATAATGTGGATAGATTTTTAAAACTACATAAATTAGGGTAAATCAAAAAATACACTATACATAAGTGGTCTTTAATTTTCGTTCATTTGTACCTATTTTTTTTTCAATTCAAAATTTCGTTTACTAAAAAAAATCACAGAAAACTGATTATAAATATAAGTTGAATTTTTATCCCGTGTCACAAAGATCTGAAATTATATATATGTACTTAGTTATTACTTAGTAATGTAATATACATATAGATATTAATGATTAATTACAACTGTAGTATAAAGTTGCGTATGCTATCCATGTTTATCCACGTTTAAATACAGTGCCGTATTTCCCAGTAAACACTATAAGTACATGCTTACAACGGAAGTTTTCTAAGGACTTCAAATATCAAGTACCTTTAGGTTATACTAATATTATAATAAAGTAACTTATTAGTTAATTAGATATAACATAATATTGTAATAACATGAATAAGTTTGTATTTAAAAAGAAAAGTTAGGTGAAATAAAAATATACATAAAATATTCCATATTGAGTTTTTTTTTTTTTAAACTATAATAATATTATTACAAAAGTCTTAAAAGAATGTTTCTAAAAAGGTGGCAGTTTGTACAGCGGTACAGTAGTTAAATCCAGCAATGTTTAAATGTTGAATTAATAAAAATTCATAAAAAGTTATATTGCCATGTAGATATTCACTTGGAAAAGTAATGCGCATAAGGTTAAACAATTTTTCGTCTTATGTTGTCTTATGTTGTTCTTATTCTTATGAAAATTCAAAAATATAAAAATACATAGCCATCATTTTTATTTTAATCGTTTTAAGTTAAAATTTTATCTAAACTCATCAAAATCACAGACATTTTTTAATTGTTTTGTAGCTTAAAACTTTGATTTTATTCAAATTAAATAACTTATGCTTATAAATTTAAACAGCATATCTATATATGACAAATTATCTATTATATTATACATGTTAATGGAAAGTCATTAGCTATAAATCAAAATATGATATACTTATGTCCTATATATATTAATATATTAATAAATAATATTTATTTTCCACAACATGGAAATACGGGATAAACGCCTTAAGTATTTACGTCCACGACAACGATATTTCCCTATTGACTTTATATAGTATATCATTATTCGTTCATAATTGGTTTTTTTTTTCTGTCGTGTGTCACGTCTGCAGGTAAAGATATGGTTTCAAAACCGGCGAGCGAAATGGAAACGGGTCAAGGCCAGCTTGTTGTCCGGAAACGCGTGCGGCAACGACGGCCAGAAAAGCAACGGCAGCGGAAATGCGGCGCGTGGCCGATCGAAATGTCCAAATGGCGTAGTCGGCGGCGGAGGGGCTGGAAAAATTGTAGTACCCATTCCGGTACACGTCAACCGGTTCGTGGTGCGGAGTAGGCACCAACAGTTGGAGAAATGTGCTTCGGGTTTTGCGCATCTCCGACGAGGCAGCGATGCCGACTTCAAAATTAAAAGTCGGCTGCAGCTGTACACGTCCGCCATTCTGTAGTCTGCAGGTCCCGAGATCAGCCTGTAAGTTATGTTGCACTGCACGCAATAATATTATGTAAGGCGCAATTTTTGGACAGAAATTAAAGAATAAGTAATWATAATAAATGCATACATACAAATCACTATAAYTTAGGTATATCATGTATAATGGTTGTCAGTTGTTATTTCGAACAGTTCTGTTTAGATATTTTTAAAATAGGAAGATAATTTATTTAGGGCCATTTTCAAACTTAGACATAATATTATTATAAGTACCTACCTACCTACCTTGCTGTTTACAATTTGTGTACATATTTTTATTATTAATACCTATTAATATTTTTTTATGATAGTCAATAGGAAATTTATGATTCTTATGAATGTAAGAATTTTCGCTGTAGTTGAAAAAATAAATTTTAACAACTTAGTAACTTGTAAATGAATCAAAATCAGTTTCAAACATTAAAATTCTTATCACCCAAACCTTAAATCATTTTCAAGTCTAAACACTACCTTTTATACAACGACTGCAGTAAGGGGATCGTGCCACATCCGCATGGCGTGTTATCTAGACTTAACAAAAGTACAGTACTTACAATTTTGCTGCAAATTTGCATTCATATAAAAATCAATTTTGTGTTAATCCTTCATTTGGTATTAGAACTAACGAACTGTTTTCAGATATAATAAAGTTTAAGTTAAGAAAAAACATTATCTATGTCTGTACTACTGAACGACAGTATAACGTTGGTTTTTTTACTATATTCAACTTATAAGCGAGTTTCATTAAATTTTCTAAGCATATTTTATTTTACATAAGAATTTATAATTCCTTAAAAAATTCTTACCTTTACATTTGATATTAGGTCGATTCACTTTGATATTAAAAATACATTTTTCGTTTATGAAATTAAATTTATTATTGATTTTAATAGTATGAATAATATTTCATGACATTATATAATATCAGCGTTMACATCGGATAACTCGAATTCCAGCTAATTACGACAGTTGAACGTTATGAGTGTTATGACTTAAGATGTATAAGATTTTGATTCTTCACAACGTGTACCTACCTAGGTTAGTAGGTTATATGTCTGTAACACAGTGTCACAGTTTTCTTTGTAGTATAGAGTTTTCTGTTAATCGTTCTCCGAGTTCCCAATACTAATACCGATCGTATACTATTAAAAATATCAAAGGATTTGAACAAGACGAATTTAATTAACATATTATCATCACTAGATGGAGAAGATTTGAAATTAAAATATTACGAATAATAGAAATTTGTATACCTAGGTAGGTACTGTATATGAACTATTATATTATATACCTAAGCCGTATGAACGTATTTATTATATTTTATAWWTGTACCTAAATGGCTATATGWAATATATCTAATGTTTTAACAATTCTCATAATTAAAACCTTGCTAATAAATAATGTTATAGTATTTTGGTAATTTGTATAGAACATTAGAGATAATTTAAAAAACAAATATAATTTTGAACGGTTATATTCAATACATTATACTTTACAGTGTACTATACATCATAATACATAATATATTATAATACTATATATAGTCTGTTAAAAATTGTATAATATGTGCATATAAAATAGTAAATTCGTATCATGTATAAAGTAGATACCTATATACTTATACGAATATTTTTATAATCCTGTTCTCTCTTTTTTTCCAATAAAATAATTGCATGAGATATTATACTCGTAAATTAGAAAATACATAAATTTGAACTTAGAGTATGCATTGTAAATATTTATCAATAAGGTTATAATATTTTGTGATTATACTATTTTTATTCTTGAGAATCTTTTATAATATATACATACCTAAGTAAAATAGATTTTAATAAATTATGAAATATTAAATATCATTATATTTTGTAGTTTTGTGCATAAACATTGTAAATACAATATAAATTATAAATTATAGTCATCACATATGTTACATGTACAAATAAGAGTGTAAAAAGTATAGCAGTACCTACTCGTGTAATGTTTAAATTTGTCATATATATGAAAATACTGTATACAAAATGTATGTAAAATGTATATATCTATAAACTTATAAAATAAAAAAATTTTGGAAACTAAACGATTTTGAAATTAATCTTGTAAACATAAACTTTGCACACTCCCGGTTTGATATTAGAGGTATGCTCAATATTTTAACACTATTGGTCATGGTAGCCTTAATTTTCTAAAACATTATGTATAATAAGAACAGTTTGCTCATATATCGGACTTGAACTTTTACTTTGTATTATTATTATACAAAACGCATCCACGATGTTCCGTAATACATTTTATTCTATAAAAAAGTGCTTATGGATGTGTATTGGATACAGGTAGGTGTATTCTTACGGTATAACACAAAATAATCGTAAGCATAACTATATGTGGTTGGGAGACTTGGAGAGCCGGAAAATATTGTGTTTTCTATAATACTATACCAAATAAACTCCAAACGAGTATACTTATACGAGTGTATACTTTATTTGCTAGGGTCGCCAGGGACTCGAATATAGGGAGTGGTTACACAATGTTTCAATATATATATATAATACTTAAATCATTAAATCTGAGTTCACAGATACGTCGTCCATCGTGTCGTGACCAAAACTCGAGACCTATTCTGGAAATTTGAAACCTAGTAGATAGTGGTTAATTAATGAAACCATGATTACAACAGCCAATCTGCTGGAATCTAAATACGATAAAAGGAACACGGCGACGTACCTGTTGATTTGGCTTAATGCAAAAAACATTTTGGTTAGGTTAGATCACGACTTATTATAGTTAGTTAGTTTTAAGCTAAATTTATTACATAATAAACTTAACCTATGTTATTACTCATAGCCATTAGATGCTCTGATCCGTAATGTAAACTACTAAAAGGGATAGAAGTTGAATCTATTTCAAGAAACGGAACATCAGAACTCTAAATGGACAGGATGTATATACTTATGTACCCTGTATTGAAATATAAATATATAAATAATACCTATACGTATCTATTATATTATGTTTGACTTTCTAGCCAATAGGTATAACGTCATAATAGCACAGTGTGACGTAATCAAAACAACCACCTAATTAAACAATTTATTTCTACAAATTATATAAATATAATTTTAAAATTATTGAGGATCGAACAATATTTTTTATTTACRAACGAGAARCGATTCAGTTCCTTTTTAAATTGATGAACGTAAATTTGAACTAATTTAAGAAACTGCCCAAGCACACACGAAGCTATAGGTTTTAATATCAACCTAATTAGATTTCCATTAAGGCATTAACCGTTATAGGTATTATAATAGGTAACAAAATAAAATAAAAATAATGTCCTGCATTTAAAATATTAGTTAATCACCATAAACAGTTTATGATAAACAGTAATAATGCAATCCTACCRCAAACCTCAACAAACATTAATCAATTACTTTTCATACCTACTATTAAATTTAAGCTGCAGTTATTTTGAAATATATTAATATTATTCTATGTTCCTATAGAGCAAATTTAATATTGTTTTTATATAGCGCAAATATGCATGCATATTAAACCATTTTTCAGTGTACAAAAATTCTAACTCTAATATAATAATACGAAAACTAGGAAATATATATGAACTATTGCAATAATTGTATTTAATAAAATAATGTATTCGGTATAATAATCCACAACAATGTATGAATTCAAAATATATTATTATATTTTGTGTATAATAATAATATCATGTAGTTGTATCTATATTTTTTGAAATGTTCGAAACACATATTTATACATATATATATGTGTGTGTGCGTGTGTACGTTCTTTTGAAACTGCAGGCAATGGGATTTCATTGTTGGTTTTGAAGCGTTAAAGTTTAATGGCTTTTGGCCATTCGGGGGAGGATGTACCGGCCACGCCTCTCGTTGCAGTCAAACGATATATAACACACAATGAATTAACGACATTATTTGGACCCATTAGTTATCCAAAATTACTTTTCTTCGAATTCCCCGTTGTGTCATTTTCAAATGCACTTAGGTTTGGTTATTAGTCTCGATTTAGTATAAAATCAAACCATACACACACACACACACACACACACACACACAGAGACACTATAATACTATATTTTTTCGTGACACATTTGACATTTTTTACAGATATTGATAGTGTATATGATATTTTTATATTATTATATTTGGATTAAGCTGAGTATTATATTATAATACTACAAAATAATTAGACTGCAATCGTAGTATGTATTTATTATTAAAGCATTTTTATTATATAAGTACCTACATTTATAGTCTTAAAGATAAATTGATCCGTCGCATATTTAGTAGGTATATTAATACTAAATATACTTATGCACTTAGGTGCAGTTCTTTAATCTAAGCTGTTTTATGTGTGAAAAAATAGACATATTAATAAATGTTATATCAATTGGCTTATTCAATTTAAAAATATATCATATCATATATAGGTTCAAGATTTTACCAATACCTCGGTTATAGTTTCCTCTCATTGAAAGAGTCATGAATAACTTTTTTTTAGCTATTCTGTAATTAAATATTATAAATATTTATTTAACACGATAACCACCTATATGGCTATATCGATTAATATTTTCTAGCCACTTGCCACTTTTCATAATGATATTAAAAAGGTCTTTGATTACATATTTTGACTATACAAATGGTTCTTACTGCATCTCGATGTTATTATTGTTGACACACAGTCACACAGACCATCGCACTGTCTAACACTAATAACCTAACCTGCACTACCTAGACCGATTATGCGTATATACTATAAACGTAATATGAAATAGCCTATTATAGGTACAATAATAATAAAATATTGATTAGGTTATTATTATGTATAGTATTTTTTGTTTGCGGGTAAAAAAGCTTCAACATTTGTCAAAAATCGTAAAAAAATCGTTTGAAAATCATGTATATTTTGTAACTATTTGTAGTTAAAAATCTACTAGATTTGTAATTTTAATATCTAAAAATATTATAAACTCTATATCTTAAAAAATAAACACATAACTCCTTATAAATTCTTCTTACCTACTACAGTGACTTAAAAAGATCAATAGGAAATTTAGGTTTATAATTTAATTTAATTTACGTTTGAAGTTCTAAATTTTAGCAAATGCCA